AGTGGTCTGCTAAGAATACATGTAACAGGTTTTGATAATGAAAAAGAAACAGGGTTGGGCAATGAATGGCTTTAAAAGGGACTAAAAGAGGCCAAGATAACTTGGCTCTGAGCCTGCAACAGTCTTGTTTTCTGCAGTCACAAAGTCTTGTAGTATCTTGAACATGGGTATACTTTTTCTCCTTTTTTTCTGGAAAATTCAGTGTATATAAACAGAAAACATTGCTGAACTTTTATGTGACAAATCAATAGGAAAATACTGCTCTTTATGAAAAAAATAAAAATACCTCTCTTTAAGAAAAAAATTTGAGGGGCTGGAGAGATGGCTCAGAGGTTAAGAGCACTGACTGATCTTCCAGACATCCTGAGTTCAACTCTCAGCAACCTCATGGTGGTTCACAACCATCTATAATGATATCTGGTGTCCTCATACATGCTGGCAGAACACTGTGTGCATAATAAATAAAAAATTCTTTTTATAAAAAAAGAAAAAATTGAGAATCTCAAAATAAAAACTTTAGAATAACAGAATGTTGATTTTTAAAACATACAAACATAGTCATATCAGCCTTATATTTGAAAGCCAAATAGAGGAGCAAGTGCAAAACTTCATCAAGAATAGACGGTAACTTCATACACAGTAAGAAAGAGTAAACTGCCACTACTACATGCTGCAATAGAGGTAAGTTCAAGGAAAAAAGCAAATCTTAGAATGTTACTTACCCTTGAGGGGTGTGGCCTAGGAAGTATCCTGAGGAAGTTTTCTGGGGTATTAGTAATACTTTCTGGTCCACACCTTTAATCCAAGCAGTTGGGGACGGGGACAAGGGTAAGCAGATCTCTGTGAGTCCGAGGCCAGCCTGGTCTACAAAAGTGAGTTCCAGGACAGCCAGGGCTGTTACATAGAAAAACTCTGTCTCAAACCCTTTCCCCTTAACCCAAGAAGAAGCTCTTTGGGGGCTAGAGAGATAACTCAGCAGTTAAGAGTACTGGCTGTTCCTCTAGAGGACCTGGGTCCAATTCTCAGCACTCACACGGCAGCTCACAGCTGTCTGTAATTCAAGTTTGAGGACATTCATCATACTAGGCATGCATGTAACTGTGCATGCAGGCAGAATACACATACACATAAAAGAATATAAAGAAATCTTGTTTTTTTTAAAAAAGAAATACTTTCATATCTGTAACTTGGTGCTGTTTACATATGCCAACACCTCCAAGGTATTATGTTTCCCTCCAAAGTTGTCACATGACAAATTATGAGTTGATCTAACATCTCATTCTAGGAGCACATTTGTCCTAGTTTCATCCTGTTTCCATGATACACAACATGGTTAAAAGCAATTTGTGGAGGATAGGGTTTATTTCTGTTTATGCCTCCAGGTTACAGCAGGTCCCCAAGGGAAGTCAAGGAAGAAGCTCCAAGCAGGAACTTGGAAGCAGAGATTGTGGAGGAATGGCTTGCTTACTCACTGGCTTGGTCTTTACTTGCTTTCTTATACAGCTGAGGCTCTGAAGCCTAGGGCCTGTGCCTCCTACTGTGGGCTGAGCCATCCACATACATCATCAACCAAAACAGTTCCTCCAATGCATGGCCACAGGCCAATCTGACTGAAACAATAGCTCAGTTGAGGTTCCCTTTTCCCAACTGACCCTGGGTTGTGTCAGGTTGACAATAAAACTTACCAGGTACAATGTCTAAGTGCTGTTAAAAGAGGCTGGGGCACAGAGGCCTTGGGTGAACTAAAATCAACATGAAGATGTTTATAACAGCCTAAAACTAAGGATTATAGAGAACTATAATAATGTAAAAAATCTTCCCAGCACTCAGGAGGCAGAGGCAGGAAGATGTCTGTGATTTCAGAGGCCAGCCTGGTCTCCAGAGTTGAGTTCCAGGACAGGCTCCAAAGCTACACAGAGAAACCTTGTCTTGAAAAAACAAAACAAAACCTCGCTGACATTTTGAACTCTTGGCTAGAGTGTAGAGTGTAGAATTGACCATATTGCATGCATTTCTCTGGAAGTCTTTCCTTGATTTGGTCAGTGTTTTTCCAAAGAAAACATAAGCAGTTGTGTGACTAGAGATTACATGTGTGAATATTAAATTTACCACACAAACATACTAGTATGTGACCCTTTTAAACTTTGCAGGGAGGCCAAGTAGGATAGTGGAGATAATATAAACTTTGGAGCAGGACAAATCTTAGTCTAAAGTGCACCGTCGCTTCTCTGGACACCAATGTTTCATATGTAATCAAGGAGAAGCATCTTATTATACATGGTATTGGAAAGTTTAACTGAGAAAACGAACTTGGAAGCACTTAGAACAATGTTTGAAACATTAGAATAACTGAGAACTATTACCCTAATAAATAAAGCTTAGTTTTTTACTCTTTGAAGGTGAGTTCCAAGTCACATGAATAGAGCTATCTATACATGTGAGATACCAGGCATCTTTGTAAGGGACTGAAAAGTTATGTGTATTTCCCTCCTATAGCATTTTGCTCAAATTCACTTTCTCAGTGAAGACTACTAATAAACTGTATGATCCATTCCCTCTCTTCCTAATTTTGGGATTAGCACTTACTACCTTTTAATTTCTAATCCACCCTCATACAGCATTAACTGCAGGAATGTTTCACAAATAACAGTTATCATAATTGTCTTTACAACAATTTCCAAGGTCCTCTCCTCTCAGCTTGGTCTATTGTAAGACCCCCGGATGCTCAGGCCTCCAGAATCTTTTCCCAGGACTGTGGCCACCCCAACCACCAGGGGGAGGCGGAAACTTGATGCAAACAGCAAGAGGCTTTAATGAAAGGTAGACGTTTGTACAAATGGGCTCTCTCAGCATTCAGGCTAGAGAGCAGCCCCGTCCCCGAGGCACAGGCGTTTTTAAAGGCACAAACCATAAGCTTAGGAAGGGCCCTCGACTCTCTGTCCATTGAATATGTGACCAGAGTCATGGGTTCCTAGGAAGCCCTTTGTCTTGAGGGGAGGCCTGGGAATCAGATAGCCTCCTGGCCCCACCAGTTGTAAAACCTGCAGACCTCAGGATGTGCTAGCTAATGGTAGCTATCTCTTTGTTTCACAGGGACCCTTAATTGTTAATGATTGACACATTGGCCAGTGGGGCAATCTGTTTCCTTCATGAGCCCCTCGGGGAGGGTGGCCATCTGGGAATTCTTGATACCCAGTTATCTTATGGCCTTGTAAGGGAGTAATTGCTGGTGGCTGGTAAATTCCAGGCACTAAGTCATAGTAGTAGCCTTGGTCAGTTTCTGGACTATATTTCTTTGCTAATTTTTAAGTCCTTCACTATATCTGTAGTGCTTCCTTAGTGGGGTGTTCATCCTCTCCTGACCCACCCCTTCTTTCGTAGATGTCATGAGCTTTTGGTTCCAATTCTTTTTCTTCTATCACCTTTTTAAAGAAAAGGCATTATACAATGTGTCTAAACTGTGTTTGTAGGTCTGGGTGACCCCTACCAGCCTGTCCCCAAACTGAAGTGTTCTGTTTAACAATGTGGTAAACTCCATGCAACAAGATGGAACTTTTTCTCACAATTTTCTTTCTTTAGCATCAATGCAGAAGTATTTTAATATTATTGCTTGTCATACTACAGTTTGCATTCATTTTATAGTTTTTAAGAGTTTGATCTCTTTTACATTTGCTTTGTGCTAAACAAACTAATTCTTGATGTTGTACAGAAAGTTTTGCCATGGAAGTAGTTTACAAGTTCCCTGATCCATTATGCTATCTGAGCATCATGCTGAGGCCAGAGGAAAATTAAAATAGCCTATTTATTTCCTGGAAGGGCTGTGAAGTCTGCCCTGCCTCAAGCCAATAGGCTCAGGAAACTAGGACTGTCAGAGAAACCTGGTGAAATGAGGGAGGGGTAAAGGTTCAAAGGATTAAATTTCCAGCTCCAAAAATAACCCTGAGTACTCCTGCCACTTCCAAATCCTGCACACTTCTTCCAAGTGGCAGCATGCCACTTCTCTCCCACAGGGCCCTGAAGAGCCGTGGACACCCCTCCACCTCCCTAAGGGTACTCCCCAGAGAGTGTGGGAACAAGCAAATTGAGGGTGTCTATGCAAGATGCTTTTCCTCCCTTCCTTGTCATCATCCATTGTCCTTCTCTTCTTTCTTCTCTGTCCCCAGCTCTTGGAAGGGCCTATGTAATACTTCCCAAGCCTTAACAATTGGATAATTACTTTAATGTTGCTCCCCCCCCATAATACCGTATCTAAATCTCACCAGTACCATTTCCTGAATATCGTGTAAAATATTTGGTCTTATCAATAAGGTATCTAACTGCTTTAAGATGAAAATAAGTGGTTTTTTTTGTCATGAATAGAAGTTTCCTTTATACCATAATGTAATTAATAGAAAGAGAATTTTAGTTAGTTAGATATGGCTGCTTGTTGCAGATCTTGTGCCCAATCCTGCTTGTTAAGAATTCTGGTAACGTGTTACAGACTTATGAGCTTCAACGTGAGATCCTTGAAATGGACAAGGAGGGGACCAAAAAGAGAGCAATTTCTTCTTTCATTTTTTGATTCTGTGTCTACATCTTTAATGTATTGCTTTGAGTTTTAGGTCGCATAAACATGCATTTGTTTTGTTTTTGAAATCGGATAGGCTTCATCTTGTTTCCTTCAAGAAGTGGTGAATACACTACTTGATAATTGTACTTAAAACCTTTTTTTCATTATTTGACCAGCTACCAGAGAATGGTCGGGACCAAGGGCGATTTGGACAAGGTCATGAAGAGCCGGTCTAAAGTTTTGGCTCCCACAGCTCTGATACCAAGCTGTCTCTCAGGAGCCTCGCTGAAAGGTCGGTCGCCTTGGGCCTCCAGCCAAACTTCAAGCCTCTCGTGTGTTTACTGCGGTTGCCATGGCAGCCGCGCACCGTCCTCCTCTTCCCCACCTTACCTCAGTGACGTCATAGGGTCGGGGCCAATGGGAAAGCATCAGGCGTCAGGCCCCGCCTTAGTCGCGGGCGCGGCTTTTGCCGCGGGCTGACGCTTGAAGCCTGTGGGGAGCAGGCTGGTGGCGGCGCGGAAGAGGGCGCCCATTTCCCCCCCGCGCCCGCCGCCTGCCGTGCTGCCACGATGTTCCGGATGCTGGGCAGCAGTTTCGAGGACGACCCCTTCTTCGCGTGAGTGCCCCAGCCGCACGCCCGCTCCGAAGGGCCAGGGGACGTGGGCAACGGCCCGGCAGGTTGTGGGGTGGACGGCGGGCGGGAGGCGCGGAGAAGTGGCTGTGAGGAGGAGTGGGTGTGAAGAGGAGTGGGAGTGAGGAGTAACAGGTGTGAGGAGTGGGTGTGAGGAGGAGTGGGAGTGAGGAGGGGTGGGAGTGTGGAGTAACAGGTGTGAGGAGTGGGTGTGAGGAGGAGTGGGAGTGAGGAGGGGTGGGAGTGTGGAGTAACAGGTGTGAGGAATGGGTGTGAGGAGGAGTGGGAGTGAGGAGGGGTGGGAGTGAGGAGTGATGGGAGTGAGAAGTGGTTGTGAGGAGTGATGGGAGTGAGGAGAAGTGGCTGTGAGGAGGAGTGGGAGTGAGGAGGGGTGGGAGTGTGGAGTAACAGGTGTGAGGAGGAGTGGCAGTGAGGAGGAATGGTTGTGAGGAGTAGTGAGGAGTGAAGGGAGTGAAAGGAGTGAGGAGGAATGGGTGTGAGGAGGAGTGGGTGTGAAGAGTGGGAGTGAAGAGTAACAGGTCTGAGGAGGAGTGGGAATGAGGGGGAGTGGGAGTGAGAAGTGTCTGTGAGGAGGAATGGATGTGAGGAGAAATGGGGGCATGAGGAGAATGGGGAATGAGAGAAGTGGGGACAAGCTGAAGAGATTTGGGGAGCATTAGGTGAAAAGATCAAGATGTGGCACATGAGAGGTTTTAAGGCTATAAGACAAGAAGAAATGGAGGGCATGACAGAGAATGAGCTGAGCAGGATTAGGGATGTGAAGAGGATTTAGGGGCCTGAGGTGAGATAAGAAGAGAATTTGCTGGTGGGAGGTGAGGACTAGGCTACCCAGCTTCTGAACAGCTTTCTATGGCTGGAGGCCCAGGCTGCTGATGATTGGGGCAATTTGGGATTCAGTTGCCTCGGATCTGAAGACCTCCTATGCAGTAGCAGGGCTTAGGTGGTGACCGTAACTGCCATCTTGGTGGAACTTCTGGTGAGAATTAGTCACTTTAATAGATAGGGATGGGGAGTGCTTTATAAGGTGACAGTCCTTGCCTTGAGAAACAGGTTTTTGGTATTTTATTTTTAAATTTTGTTTTTTATTTTGTTTTGTTTGAGATAGGGTCCTACTCTGTAGGCCTGACTGGCCTGGAACTCTTGTGTAGGCCAGGCTAACCTGGAACTCAAGAGAGGTCCACCTGATTGCTCCTCCTGAGTGCTGGGATTAAAGGTGTGTGCTTAGGTTCTTTAAAACAAGTTTTCATATAGTGAAGGCTGTCACCTTGGCAGCACTACCAAGTAGGAGACTTGTGCTGGATGCTTCGAAGGGGTTGGATGTTGCCATGCAGCCACCTTTTGTTTTCTTTGCCTGCTTCCTTAACAGAACTGGCCTTGTTTGGAAAGGGACTTCTCATTTATTATTGCAAAGATGGGGGAGGGAGAAAGAAATGATATGCAATGAACACCTCAGGTGACAAGGAATGGTGAATGGTCCCAGTGAAATAAATGAGGCCTTGAGGTTTCATAATTATCTTGTTTTCTGAGAGTATTTGGGTTTATTATATGCCTAGTTATAGCAAAATGAGTAGCCCTTAATTAAATGTATAATTTGATATGTAATTAGTATCTTTTAAAAGTCTAGCAGGAGTGTAATTTAAGCTGTTGGATGATCCTCTGAGCAAAGGCAAGGAATCCAGGATTTGAGATCAAAAATAGTAACAGATCAGAAACAGACTTACACATCAAAAAAAGAAAAAACTTTCTTCATGCTTAGCATGAAAAAGACCATCAGTCATACTCTTCAACACTTCATAGCATTCTTCACATCCTGGCAACCATTGTCAAAAATATAAGGCAAATTTGTAGTAGTTAACTATAAAACTGATTCATGCTTACAATTTATTTTTATAGCCATTATACATAGCATAAACACATGTGAGAATAAACAAGGAAAAGAATGAATTTATATTTCAGATAATCTGTCCTTTGACCTAACTCTTGCACTCCAATTCTAAAAAAAATAGTATTCATTATTTAATATTAAATTAAATAATTTATTAAGGTGATACATTTACTAAACCATCTATTGACCTTGGGAACATAAAAGGGAAGTAGGACACATTGATCATACTCAGTGGTTTTATATAAAGATTGTACCAGATGCTAACTTTGTGCCTGATCTTTGGGTTCTCTAGTGTTACTTTAATTTAGAAAATATTCAGTAAACATTGTTTAATGATGGCCTAGTATCCTTTATGATTTATGGAGCAGTTATGTATAATGTTTCTTAACTGCTGATAGTAATTACTATTTTCATTAAATAATGCCATTGTTTATACTGGAATTTCTGAGTTAAAATATTACTCTTAAATTTTTTTCTTTTAAAAATAAACCTTATCATTAAAAAGCCTTATAAATAAACAAAAACATCACAAATACAGACTAACTGGACCCATGGATCTTACAGATAGCACTGAAGTATAGGATGAATACAAAAACTTCTTTCTGGAGAAGGTTCTGGGAAATGGCCAAAGCATACATAAAGTGAAAAGGACACAGCAGATGAGAAAAAGAAAATAAAATTCTACCTTGAGCCCAAGCTCCATATGTTTCATGCAAAGCAGCCAAAGCTCCTACAAGACTCAAAAGTCTATCTGGCCTAAGAACCAAAGACAGAGCTTAGTACTACCACGGTTACCGAAAAGTATCTGGTGAGGGTGGGAATGGACAGCATCCCGAAAGAAAGATAGAGAGCTTTCCTGTGGATAAATTCTGTAGAGATCTCTTTTAGGCTTAACTATTTGCATAAGTCAGACTCAGAGCAGTTTACTGAAGATTCAAAATTCAAGCAAGATTTAATCTCCCATTTAAGACACAGGATTTGAATTCTAAGGCAAACACATTAATTACCTTCTTAGGAAAGATTTACCATTCCTGAAGAATATAACAAGATTTGGAACCTCTATAACATAACAGCCCCATTCTGTAAAATGAAGTCAAAATTACTTAACAGGAAAAATGATGCATTTTCTAGATACAAGACTTATCCTAAAGTTACCTAGATAATAGAATTAATAGGCAAAAATTTAAAGCAGTTGTAATTTTGCTCCATATGTGAAGGAAAATAATGATTGTCATGAAAGAAAATATATGACATCTCAACAAAGGAAGTGAAATTTATACATAACATGTCTATCTCTAATGTGTATAAATATAATACTGTACATATTATATATAAAATAGAAATTATAGAGCTGAAAATTACATTTGAAAGAAAAAATTGAGTAAGTGTAGCAGAATGGAGATGACAGAACAATCAGTAAACTTGCATAAAGACAAATAGAGAACAAGGATTGACAGTGGATACTTTTGATCAAGTTCCAGGCCTGCCAGGACTACATAGTGAGACCCTGTGTCTAGAAGGAGAGAAACATGAAGAGAAAAAGCTCCCTTTGAATTATAACAAGAAATAATAGTTACAATATAGCATAGAGCAGAGATAATGCTGGCATTGTGATAGAGTTTTCTGTAGACATTGATGCTTTGGCATCTTTTTAGTTTTGTTTTTCCAAATTGGGCTTTTTTTCTGTAATAAAGAATTCTATTAATTCATGGACATTTCATTCAGCACACAACAGTGGTAATTTAGTCACAAACTATGTTTACAACATCACAATCTTCAGTGACCATTTTATGCTGAGTTGGCAGAAATTGATGGTTTTCCTTGAAATTACTTTAGTGTTATTATAAGAACATGTCTGTGGTGGGCAGAATAATGATTCCTGTAAAGACAATCATATCCTAATTCCCAGAACATTCAAATATGCTATTCTGGTCAGAAGTTTCATAAGCTTCTTGTACCTGTTTCAGCTGCCCTCTAGTTTGAGTTTATCTTATAATGTATATTAGCTTCTTGAACATTACACCTGTAACACAGACACTGAGATCAACAATTAATAAATGGGACCTCCTGAAACTGAGAAGCTTCTGTAAGGCAAAGGACACAGTCAACAAGACAAAATGGCAGCCCACAGAATAGGAAAAGATATTCACCAACCCCACATCTGACAGAGGGCTAATTTCCAAAATTTACAAAGAACTCAAGAAGCTAGTCACCAAAACACCAAATAATCCAGTTAAAAAGTGGGGTACAGAACTAAATAGAGAATTCTCAATAGAGAAATCTAAAATGGCTGAAAGACATATAAGAAAGTGCTCAGCATCCTTAGCCATCAGAGAAATGCAAATCAAAACAACTCTGAGATACCATCTTACACCTGTCAGAATGACTAAAATCAAAAACACCAATGACAGTTTATGCTGGAGAGGATGTGGAGAAAGGGGAACACTCCTCCACAGCTGGTGGGAGTGCCAACTGGTACAGCCACTTTGGAAATCAGTATGGCTGTTCCTCAGGAAAATGGGAATCTACCACAAGATCCAACAATTCCACTCTTAGGCATATACCCAAAAGAAGCACATTCATACAACAAGGACATCTGTTCAACGATGTTCATTGCAGCATTATTTGTAATAGCCAGAACCTGGAAGCAACCTAGATGCCCCTCAACTGAAGAATGGATGGAGAAAATGTGGTACATTACACAATGGAGTACTACTCAGCAGAAAAAAAAAAAACAAAAACAAAAACAAAGAAAACCCAAAACAATGGAATCTTGAAATTTGCAGCCAAATGGATAGAACTAGAAGAAATCCTGAGTGAGTTAACCCAGTCACAAAAAGACAAAAAATGTGTGTACTCACGCATGTATGGATTTTAGACATAGAACAAAGAAGTAGCAGCCTACAATCCACACTGCCAGAGAAGCTAGTAAAAAGGGAGGGTCCAAAAAGAAAAATAAATGGTCCCCTGGAGAAGAGGAAAGGGACAAGATCTCCTAAGCTAATGGGGAGCAGGTGGGGTGGGGAGAGGGAGTTTAAAGAAAGAAAAGGGGAGCAGAGGAGGGGAGAGGAGGACGAGG